AATACACACACACACACACACACACACACACACACACTTTATCAATTTATCCAGTGTATATGCCCAGCTTGGGTCAGCTCTGAAAATGTAAAATGAATAATGAAAAATTTAAAAAAAAACCTAAAATATACCAATACATGGTTTTGATTCAGAGTTTTTACTGCACCAATATTTCTAACTACAAATACCAATGTATTGATTTTACCAAAAAGTGGAGGGTGGGAGGGAGAGAAAGATCATCTACACAACCTTATCAGGAGATTCCCATCTCTTGGTCTCCAACCTCAATTAGAGCCTGAGTTCAGCAGATATTTAAGTGTTTTGCTGAATCTGGATAAACTGTTGCATTGGTCCCTCAATGACCAAGAAAAGATGGACTTTGCAATGCAGAAGATTAACATATCCAAGCTCCGAGGAACCATGAAGGGCAAGACCAATCCTGAATCGAGAAGCACTTATAGGAATCACTCTCAAACACTTTACTTTCCCTTTGTGTATAATTGAGCAAACTCCAGGTCTTGCATTTCTGCAAATATCAGCTGCATCTGTATATTGGGAGAGGAGGGCCTTAAGATAATGGGGACCCAAACCACTTAATGCTTTTTACAGTAAAAACAAGCACCGCAAATGACATCTAGAAACTTATCATAAACCAATGCCTCTGGGTTCCAAGTAGGTCATAGCAGGATTTTCTTGATCACAGCTCCCTCTATGATGCCCAGTTTAATGTGCATGTAGAGTGTATTACTACTTGTAATCTGGACTTGAGGTGGCAAATGCAAGAATAATGGTAGCCAGGTCACACTAGAAAGAAATGTCTTACTCTTTTAGACATACAAAGATGAAAACATCTTTTCAGTTACATGTTTACACTTGTACACACTGTTCTCAACAAAGGGTTGTCTGCCTAATCCCAATATAATGTTTTAGTACTTTGTACTCAGGGCAGTCAGAGACTGCTTCATTCCTTCCACTGCTGTCAACATTATTCATATAAATAATGATACTCCACTGCATGTTTGAAGAATTGATCACCAGATTAGACATAGCATGGAAAGGCTTAAAACAAGTCACCAAGAGCAAGATCCTGGCTTCATTGAAGATAACAGCTAAACTCTCATTGATTTAAATGGAACACGGAGTTTCCCCTCAATTTTTCGGCTTCAGGGTCTGAGCCTACTGTTTCTCATACAAGGGATCAACCCTAATTTTCAGTATCTCAGATGTTTAATTCTACCAAATAGAATCACCTTTTCTTCAAAGAAAATGAGTGTCTTTCCTTCCTGAAAATACACGGGCTAGTGGCCTCATGCGCTAAACCTGTTTCCCTCCCCCCTTCCCCGCCCTGGAGTTCCTCTCTCAGTGCCAGTTTGGAACTTCTCTGGCCTCAGCAGCACTTGATGAGACTCACCATTATCTTCCTGTGCACTGGCCTCAGAGAGGGATTGGAAAGGAACTGTAGGGTTGCACAAGGTTTGCAAAGCATAAGAGACATGGGTTTCAGGTGGATGAAATAGGTTTTCCTCCACCCTAGTACCCCAACTCAGCCCCACATCACTCATTCAGGGCAGAGCACCCCCAAGTGGACACCTTGGTAAGAACAGATATTCCCTAGGGAAGATACCCTGGAGATTAGCTAGTTTCCTAAGGCTTAAAAGATATTCAAGTTCCCACACCACTAACACTGTATATGTTTAGGCTTATATTGCAAATGCAGTTCAAGAAACAGTAGTTGAAAAAGAACAGGAAATGTCTTCCTCTTTAACATACTTGGTTAAACTTAAATCCAGAGTACTGCATTGATGACGTTTTAACACATAGGTATAGGTAACCTAACACCATATTATTATTTATACTCCTCCCCCCACCACACACACACACACAAATGTATATAAGATACAAACAAACATATATATATATATATATACACACACAAAGATATATGATCAATGACTTGATCATATATCTTTGACCACATCATCTGCCCTCCACCAACTAATCTGTCTCCGTGGGACTCACTCCACCACTCCAACTGCTTTGCACCACTGCCACTTTATGGGGAAAAAAAAGAGTGTGGCAGAGAACATTGTTTCTTTTTCCCTCCAAAAATGGAATTTAATCACAAAATTACACCTCTCTAAGATCTAGGGTGGCCAACATCAAGTCCTGAACCAGTGACAGCTTTCCTATGCATAATCTGTGTCAGCCCCGCATGGTGGCACCTATGGTGCCTGACAGTTTTGCAGGGAACAAAATTAAGGTTCTGCCCTTTTCCATCCCTGCCTGTCCACTCCCAAGCCAACCAGCACAGGTAGACAAACAACAGTTCTGTTTAGGCTGTTTCCCCAACCCCATGCCACTGCCCACAATGTGGGTATCTGTTTCAGAGGAATGAGGGATGCATAAAGAACCACAATCTGGGTCATGATCTTTTAGCAAAATAAAGAAAGACCATTTTCATATTAGGAGAAATGGCAGAAGTATGAATTTTTTGCATGTTTTCATACTGAAAAGCTATCTTCACTCATAAAAATTGGCCCCCGTTCTGCACTTTACTGGGAAACCTTAATTTAGTGAAAGTTCATTATGTCACACATATACAAATGGCACATCAAAGCAGAGTTATGAACAATTTGCAGTATCATATCTCAAAACAATCAACAAACCCCAAAGAATTAAGATTCCACTGCTTTAAGTGATGAGTTGAAGTCCATAAAACTGCACCTGTTATTAGGCACCTACCTCTTTGTTCTTTGGAAATTTTGGAAATGACCACTGGAATATTATGTTCTGCTCCACCCTAGAATTAGAAAACAATCATATCTCACTGAAATTATTTTCATTCATAAATATGTTTATAACCCCAAATGCATCTTGTGCATTTTCCAGAGATTAACTTTTATTTCCAGACACAAATAAAATGCACTGCCTCTGTGTAATAGCTTTCTTTCTGTTTTTCTAATAGGATGGCAATCAATTACTTATTGCCTTACAGAAAATCAGTTGAGCAGGTTGTTAACTGAATGATAGACCATAGTCTATAAAGGTAAAATAAAAATCACTGCAGGTTTCTCCTAATTTTCTACAAATTAGTATATCAAATCCATGTTATACAAAGGGGAAATGGGCATAATGCTGTAATGGCAACCATGCTGTGATCATTTTTATTTTCATGCCGGCAAGAAACAGACAAACAAAAGGCAAAAAAGCAAGAGGTTTGGACACCAGATTTTGTTTTTTTTTTATGTCTGTCACTGCATACAAAAAGTAAGCCAGCAGTAGAATAAGTACAAGGAACAAAAAAGAGGGTTCTATGTAATGGAGCAGCAGGTATTCACTAAAGAAAACAAACTGGACCATCTAACATAAAGGAGCATTCAGCTTTACTGTTTCGCTCAGTGTTCCCTGTTGGGTTTGCAGATCTGTATGGTGCTATAACTAACATTAAAAGTAAAGGTAAAATAAAAAAAGAGAGCGAGCAAAGGAACGAAGAGTAGGCAAGTGTAGGCAGAGATTAAATTTGGGGGTGTCAAACCCCAAAACTGCAGGCCTTACCCTGGCCAATTTTGGAAGTTTTCTACAAAGGTCAAAGCTAATCCTAACTTTCTTGCTCTTTTCTTTGTGGAGGTCACCCTGAAAATGTAAATCTGATTAATACTGATAGCAACTCAAATCACTAAAACAGCTTGTCACGGTCATTTTTACCTAAAGACTTTGTCATTACATTGCCCCCAACAACACCAAGGCTTAACTTTGGGATCCATGAGGACCATTTCATTGGGTCCCTCAAGATTGAGGATCTCCCCAGACTAATTCACAGCTATAGGACAGAGAATTGCCATCTGGGCGACTCTTGACGGCCTAGGGATTCTACGTATCCCTTCCAGACAATAGCCAAATGCCTGTAGCTGAGTGGTCTCCTCTACTGAGCAGTTACTTTGATCTCATATGTGAATAACATGATCTAGTGGCCTAAGCATGGAAATGAGAACCAGATGTTGCATTCTAAGTCCACTGGCCCTTCCTCGTGGTTACCCAACTTATTTGGGGCAATATCCCTTGAACACTTTTTACTGTGTCCCTCTCCTCTCTCAAGCCCTCGTGGGTCTTGCTGACTTCCACCTCCAAGAATAGCCAGATGGTCTCTCTTCATATCTGTAGCTGCCAGGTAAGAGACGCTATCATCTCCATTCTCTAAAATGTAAATGCGTCCTTGTGACAATGATGGGAAGTGGCCTGAAATTCTCTTGGAGCAGTAGGAGAGGGTTAAGGTTTCTGGCAGTGGTTGAGAACACAAATATTTCTTCAGGATTTGACTGTAAGCTATGGAACCCATAGACACCCCCTCGCAACTGGATGCAAGGAGGGAAGCCCCATACTTTCTACTGCCAGTGAATGGGGGAAGCTCCTACAGGTATGCACAATGCATGCTGTAGATGTGAGCTGATTGTTCAGTAAGTAGATAGAGAACCTAACCCCCCCTTGATTTCACATATGTTCAGGGATTCAGTAGAACTGTTCAAAACTGTTAAATAAATGTACACATTTATGTATTAAACATCCTTTGAGGTTTTTTCATCCATCATCATCATCATCATCATCAAAATTAATAGAGCTTTCTTTGGCTAAGAAAACCCAGCTCAAGTCAGCTAACTTTACAAGTCTCACCTTCCATTCAAATACCGCCACTTACGCGCACACATAATTCTCTCCACAACCTCTAAACAAAATTCACTCACTAAGAATGCCTTTGCAACCCCACCCCCCATTAGTCCTCCTTTACAAGACTACACAGAAAATCAGTTCTGCCCTTCCGCCCAGTGCATCTTAGGGCTCAGGCACAGTGCTTAGGACTTTGGTCTTCCTTCACCACAGACATTTCATCAGTTCCCCCTTCACAGCAGCCTGACCTGCCTGTCTGCCTCAAGCACTGGTCCACGGGGAGGAGGGAAGCCAGCCAACCCTGGGCTTGCAGTATCCTATAGCTTGTTTGTTTAACACTTTATAAATAGGTGCTTAAAGGAGCATAAAGCAATACTGCACAGGTAAAATAATATTACTCCTTTTGGCCTGAGCACCAAGCCAAACATGTTAGGCCTTGTAAGTTGTTCCAACTGGAAGGAGAAATTGGTGATGGAGTTAGGTATTTCTTTGATGCAATTCTGATTTATTTATTTACAAAGAATGTACGAAGTGCTGTTTCCTTGAATACAGGAGGAATCAAACAACAGGAGATGGTTTCCTTGCTCATTCTTACAAGCCTCTTTCAGCCTGTACCTGACCCAAAACCTCTCTCGGCTTCTCCCAGAGCCACACTCAATGCTTGTCTACATTGTGTCTGTAGATTCCTTCTCTATCTGTTACTGTGTGCTTCTCTGCTGTCTCCCCGCATACACACCTATTCAAATACCTCCAGACTGCTATTATTCTATGTTTCTATGATTTTAAATGAAAGCAGCAGTTACACCCACTTGCTTCAACAAATTTTATCCCAACCTTTAACAATTAACACTCTCTCTGTGTCCTAGTCATGCCACAGGCACCAGAGGACGCCATCCTAAATGTTAGCCAAAGGAGCTACAGCCCCATAGTATGAGAGACAAGAATCTCAAGGGAGACAGGGGAAACGGCCAGCCTCTCAGATATAATATTATGCATCAGATTATACAGTAAGTGATTTTGAAAATCTGCACATGTTCCATGTGGCATCTTGCTAGACGCTGCTGCAATACTGATTCTGATTCTCCCCAAAACTCCCCTAGTGGATCAACACACAAATATAGGTTTAAATTCTACTTTTAAGTAACAACCCATGGAAGCTACTGGGGTTATTATGCCTGGGGCATAAAGCCTCAAAGCAGTGGGGAGCATGGCTGTTAATATGCTCTTTGACAAGGTTCAGCACACCACTTCTCTCCCTGCTCTGTGGACCATGAGGCTGGATCCTCTGACTGGAACAAAGCTCTGCTAGCTTTGTGAAATCTAGGGCCACTGGCCTGGAGCCAGGCACAATCGAACCCACAAAATCATTCTAATGACTGGTCTCTAGTCTGTTGTGATGTGCATTTTCTTCCCCAAACACCTCCCTAAGTTAACAGATTCATACTCAGCTGGTTTCTTACGCAGAATATTTGGTAAAAAAGAATAAAACAAGGAAGGAAAGAATATTGTACAGGTCTCTGAGAGCCAGGAGTAATATTATAACTGTAAAGCTGAATGTCCTTAATGAACTATTAATTTTATTGCCTCCTTCACTGATAATGCTACACTCTGTCAGATTATTGAGAAACACAATGTTCTTTCAAAAGTCATACACCTAGAAACATATCTCTTGGAATCTGTGCAATTTAATCTTGTCAGTAAGATATGAAAACATGACTGAAGTACTACAGTTCATTTATCAATCTCTAAATCTCACTCCGGGCTCATCCTTTATCACAATGATTTATTAATGGGTGTTCAGAAGGAGACTTAGAAGTTTGAGAAAATAAATCCATCTGAACTACTGACTGAAGTTTGTTGCACATAATTGACCTCAGACTACATAAGGAGCCCAATTCTATTCCAAGTGAAGTCAATTCAAGTTTTGCTATTGACTTCACTGACACCATGATCAGGTCCAAGGCCTAAGGAGAAATTGGGTCTGCATTCCTGCAAAGAAACACATCAGTTTTCCTTTAGTCGCATATAAAACAATTGATCTCAAAGTGCTGTTGAAACTACAGAAGTAGACAATATAAATATGAAAATATCTTCATACTTATGCTCTTACACTGGAAGTACTTAGTCATTCATGCAGTCCCCCACTAAGCTAAACTAATTCTCCCTCTATTGCGATTGTTGATGGAGCCGCATCAGTGGTAATGCAATGGGGGAGTTTCCCCCCAAAGACTACTAACCAACAGCTAGGCAAGGAATGCTGCATTCCAAGGGGATTATAACCTATCCTCCTTCTGCTCATAAGAAAAAGGTCTGTCTGGAGGCCAGGAAAATAGTGAGAGACTTAAAAAGTTTCATTTAGTTTATCCAAGAGAAGCTTCAAAGATGACTTGGTCATGCTCAACCATTACTGATATGGAGAAAAGATTTTTCATAGTATATATAGCCAGGGCCATCCCTAGCCATACTCAAAGTACGCAGCTGCATAGGGCACCAGGAAATCTGGGGCACCACTTTTCCTGGTGCCCTGCGCAGCTGCGTGCTGCTCCAGCCCCAGCTCCGCTTCTTCACCATGGCCGCCATCCCTGCTCCACCCCTCCCCCAAAGCCTCCGCCCCCACCCTCGCCTCTTCCCCGCCCCAGCCAAGGGAGCAGAGCAGAGCGGGCTGGGGCCAGGGGGGTGGTTGCTCCCCTGCCCTCCAGCCTCCCACCCACAGAGGCCTGGGGCCAGCCCCTCCCCTCCCCCTCGCAGAGGCTTGTGGGGCACCAAAATGGCTAGGGACGGCCCTGTATAAAGCTCTTTAATTTGGCAGCAAAAGCTATAATGAAATCCAGTAGTTGGGAGTTGAAGCTAGACAATTTCAGATTAGAAATAAGGTGCAAATTCTTTACCATTAAGGTCATTATTCTTGAAACAACTTACCTAGGGATGTGGTCTCCATCACTTGAAGTTTTAAATTTAAGACTAGCCATTGTTCTAAAAGATATTCTATACTTCAAACAGAAGTTATGGGCTTGATGCAGAAATTACTAACTGATATTCTGTGGGCTGTGTTATAACCCATAAACTAGAATCATACTTGTCCCTATTGGCCTTAAAATATTCAAATCTCTGAATCACTGGTGTTAGAAGGATCTTTATGTTGTACCACAGATGAAGGGAAACAGGAATGGTCAGTAGCTCTCCAAGGCTCAAGGATAGGTCTGGAAATCACATGATAGAACATGATCTCATAAGATTTCCAAAGTTTCTTCCTTTTAGTTGAGTCTGAATAGAAGATTTTTGGATATGTTGTCAATATTTCTATTTGTATTTCAGGAAGTGCTAAAGCATGCATTTAAAAAAAAAGAGCTAAGAATCCCACCTGCTCTCATCTGTTGTCTAATAAAAGTGTGGGAGTCATAGAAAAACACTATTGTCAACTAGATAGATAGCAACCTTTGTATGGAATACCAATATTCCAGATCAAGTTGAGAAACATTTTGGTATAGTCTTGGAGGTATTTTATTCATTATCAAACATAGATAAAATATATATTATGTTGGTATATGTGCATATAACATTTGACTGTATCCCTATCCCAACCCTCTCAACATCCCTTGTCTTCTTAGACTAAGACTCTTATGACGTTCTGTCATAGTTTGTAAACTACATTATATAATAGGGCCCCAGTTCATAGATTTTAAAGTCAGAAGGGACCATTATGGTCACTTAGTCTGATATCCTGCATAATACAAACCATAGACTTCCTGAATCAAGACCATCTCTTGTGGTTGAGCTAAAGCTTTTTTAAACACAAAGCAATGCAATATTTATCTAAAGACTTCAAGTGAAGAAGAATCCTCTGTATTCCTTTGTAAATTGTTCCAGTGGTTAATTACCCTATCTTAAAAATGCGGGTCCTATTTCTAGTCTGAAATTATGGACCTTCAGCTTGCAGCTGTTAGAATCAATTCTGATTGACATTCCCTGTGTGATACAAATAAAACATAATAAATTATCTAATCTGAAAAAATATTTTCTTTTATTTTAAATGCATGATTCAGCAACTTCACTACAATTTGTTCCAACTCCCTTAGCATATGATTGTTGTTTATTATTTGTATTGCACTAGCACTTTAGGCCTTAATCAGGGTCTTAGGACAGGGGCTAAGCACTTTACAAACACAACAAAAATATGGTCCCTGCCCAAAAGAGCTTACAAGCTTAGCGATCCAAACTTTCCAGATTTTCTAAAGTAGAACTTTTTTACTTAGTAGTATATAATGGTCGCGTACCCTCCAGGAAAACTCCTTGAAAGCAATGCACATATTTCAGTGGAGATAACGTACTTCCCAAGGACTCTTTCACTTATGTTTAGTAATGTTATTTTATGTGTTAATATTTGCCTGTTACTTAAATAATAAGATCCATCCTCAAATTTTATATTCCTACAAGTGACTTTATAGTACTGTATACTAAAAACAACTTAAGACAACTTAAAAACAACAACCCTGTTTTCGTGAGTTTTCATGAAAAGTTTATCTTCCAAATCTCAAAAATCCTGACTTCTAGGCCCATGTGCTGTTTTTTCCTTATACTAGCTACACAATTTCACTCATCTCTATTAGTAACCTGACAATGACATGTAGTACTTTATGATTATTGAATAAACAACAACCCATAACAACATTTCAGGAGAACAACTAGCTTGCCATTGACTTAGTTCATAAGCAGTTTTGGGCCCAAAATAGCAATTAGTTTTCCATGAAGGGCAGTCCTTCTGGGTCAATAAGATAAAAGCAAAGCATCAAGACATGGTTTAAGAACTAATTTCTATTCAGCAATTTTCTTATCAATGACAATACGAGGGAAGTGCCCATTCATCTCTTTCTCTGGATGCAATGTCAGCCCTAAGAGACATGAACAACATAATTTTATACTCTTAATTTCATATGCATAAGTTAAGGCTCTTTTGCATTCCTATACAGTATATTTGATTTTCTCCACTGCTATCTTAAAGCTGAAGAGAGCTGTGTTTAGAAGAAAGATAAAATTAATACCATGTTACCTACACTGTGATTCAAGGTTGAAGTAAGGTATTCAAAATGCTTAACTCTTTTCCTCTTTTTTAAGAAAGAGCCCACATTGGCCTTTAATGTCCCTTAAATCTTCCTAAGGCATGGAGAAAATAAAGTTGCTAGCTAAATTGCTGCTGTTGTCTCATCTACAGCAAAATAACCAATATGAAGAAACAATAACACTTCCAGTCCTATTAATGAGTAAAAGTGAATTAATGTGATATTATTTGATTAGATTATTTGAATTGATGAACTCATTAGCTTTTCCATGTGCCTCCCACTGTAATTTAGCATTCATTAACAAGCACTTGAATTAGAGTATTTTTGAACAAAAGAACAGTCTGGTGCAGTTGCATACCCTTTTTCATTTTCATGTAAAATCTTATTAGAGAGACCCCCCCCCACCATCTTGAATCTTAAGGGGATGTGCCCTCCATCCATTTCATTCCACCAGGCAATGTTTCTGCTGATGGCTTATTGTGACAGTAAATAAATATTTTAACTAACCCTTTTAGAATTTGTTTGTGCTGTTGTTTCATGTACTCTGAAATACAATTTGCCTTCATTAAAATAAATTAACTAGAAGACAAAAACATGTTTTGTGTAACCTGTGGAAAAATAAACAAAAAAAATGCATACTACCTTTATACTTAATCCAAATCCTCCTACAGTTTGTCTTCTAATTGTTACTGTTCTTTCCTGAAAAAGTTAAATCAAGTTCAGTTAGTTTTAATATTTCCTGCCACAATATCGACATTAACTCTTTAATGAATAGTTTATACCCCCCACATCATCTTGTCTTGTCATAATAAACCTGTCAATTCCAGAGTGAGAAAAATCCCAAGAAACTCATGCTGCAGGTGAAACAAGAAGATCTGGAGAAAAAGTAGAGTTCGTGTCCCAATCTAAAACTCATTTGTTCGTTTTTTATGATACTGTTGAATGAACAGCAATGACTGAATTAATCTTGCCTGAGTAACAGGTGAATCAATATTTAAAAGATAATATCAACATTTTCCCTGCATTATGCTTTCTTAAAACTCAATGTATAGAGCTGATATACTGCAGACTTATACATCAGTCTTGCTTATGTATATTTACAAAAAGACAAGTATGAAATATTTTGTAGGCTCTTCTGCCCATTTTCATTCTGGGATAACATTTAATATTAGCTACTTTACGTAATTTTGACAATTATATTTCACTTGTACACATATACCATTCACAGAGATATATATACACACACACACACAAATTTTGATGCCTTTACATCTATGGGTGTATAAAATTCACAGCTGAAAAGCCACATCTAATTATAAATACACATATGGATATATACACTCACACACACAGAGGTATGTGTATGTGTGTGTGTGTGTGTGTGTGTGTCTCTATTTGATATAAATATAGTATAAAATTAAGACATGTACACTGCAAACTGAATAGGTCTCCTAGTATCACTGCTTTCTGCCTAATCTATAGAACAAATAATCTGGCACTAGCCTAAATGAAGGGCCAAACTACGGGCTGGTTTCTGTGTCCATGCAAGGGTGTAAAGAGCCATAAGGCAACCCTTCATGATGCAAGAGGGGAAGCAGGACCTACAGAGCCACTGCTTTTCCTCCTTCCCCACAGGTGGGCAGATGCAGACAGGGAATGATGTGTGAGGTAAGGTCAACACACTGAAATCATTGAGAATTTGGACTTACTGAATTTGGGGGAGAGGGGAAAAACATATGCTTTGTACATTCTCTATTGGTGATCAAAGTGAATGATGTAATAGAAAGAACAGTCATGGGCTAATCCATTGTACTGGATGGGGAGATAGAAGGGATGGATTGAACCCTGCATTTTAATACTTTACATATAGCCAGAAGAACAGCTCTGTGTAAACTCAAAACTTGTCCCTCTCACCAACAGAAGTTGGTCCAACAAAAAGATATTACCTCACCCACCTTGTCTTTCTAATACTTAACACAGCAAGTTCTCATTTCCAACTTAACATTGGCTAATCATAAAATCATAGAATCATAGAAGATTAGGGTTGGAAGAGACCTCAGGAGGTCATCTAGTCCAACCCCTTGCTCAAAGCAGGACCAACCCCAACTAAATCATCCTAGCTAGGGCTTTGTCAGCTCTGGGTAAAGGCTATTTAATTTTGTTTACACTTTTTTAATGTCCTGGTGATATATGCTGGATTGCAAGCCTAAAGACTGTACCCCTGTATTTAGTCACAAACAGATACAGCATAAACACACTTGCCTACCCTGCTCTGTCAGTGAGACTTTCTCCTGGTTATGTAGGACATCTAAAAATGAAGAAATAATTCACTATCCAAACCCATTAATTCTTTGGCCTCTCAACCCGATTTGCCTTCTTGGGTGTCAATTAATTCTCACTATGATGTAATTTTTATGGTGCCAATACAAATACACTAGGAACTGGGCTGAGACCACATACTTACTTCATTTAGGTCAGCAAACTGCTCTAATAAAAAGCCTTTGGACACCAAGATATTATAGTGATAGCTAATAAGGATAACATAGAAATAAAAACTAAGCTGGGCCAGAACTCCTCATCTTTAACATTTCCCTTTGTGTAATCTGTTGGGCATTACTGCTCATCCAATGAGATTATCCACGTGTATGTCAGGTTGTATCAACTGTGGCATCTCTGTTGTCCCCCTCTTCCTTTCCTATCTGTCACCAAAGAGTCATCAGATGTTGAAGAACAAGTCTGTTTCTAGTTTTTTGTAATGATGCAGTTATCACATGCACAGAGACATGATTGAAAATCTCTTCTAAATGTTTTTATATAAAAGTGTACAAAGCCTAAAATAATCATTATTTAATAAATTATGTTACAAAATAAATATATATTAAAAATAAATCCACACCACTTGGTTCCACTCTTCAACGTTTAAATAAAAACTCTAGCCCATAAAACTGCCATTCATAAATGGAAATGGAAAATAAGAGATCATTTGCTTATAATAAATGGAGGATGGAGTACATATAACTGAGGAAATCAACAAATCTACCTCAGAAAACTGCTAATTTATAACGTTGACCCATCAGAAATCTTTTCTGTTGTAGGAAGTTTGTTCTTAGTAAACTAGTGGCCTAAGGTAAATGGTGGCTCTATGCAGAATAATTTCTTAAGAGGCAGTATTTTGTATTATTTTAAATGGACTCTACTACACCTTTAAGAAGCCTAATAGAATAACTGTTCTCCAAAATATTTTTGATACACTTTGTACACCTTCCTAGCTTTAAAATCAATAAAAGCTCTTTCTGGCTTCCTCATTATATAAGCTTGTGCAGGGTTATTAAAGCCACAAAAACACCCAAACCAAACCAAAATAGGAAAAACAAAACACTATTTGGGGACTTGTTTGACCTCAAACAGGCATCTGATAGGAAACTGGACATATTTTCTACTGAAGCCAGTCCTTAATGTTTAACAGGAGGAGAACACCTTTTTTCCAACACAGACAGACAAAATTCTGTAAAAATAAATAAATGGAAGGGAAAGAAAAATTTATATAAAAAACAAATGTAAGGTTAGAGGCAGGCAAATGTCAAAAGATTTCAAGCTGAAATTTGGTTTGACCAAGAATCTGAATATTTGAATGTTTTTTTATCAGAAACCTATCCAAACCTCTTCAGCCTGCAAAACTGGGATGGATATATTTTGCAAATGCTTCCCACAACCCTCCAGAGCTTTAAAGGTGTGTGTAGACCAGCAGGGGAAAGAAAAATTCTGGACCCTTTAAGGATTGTAAATCCCCACCCCTCCTTGTGTCTGATGGGTTGGAGAGAAAATGCAGCATAAGCTTATTGAATCCACTGCACCCAAAGGAGGCTAAAATGCCTTTCCCCCCGCCAAAGTGCACTAAAAGGGCCTAAAGGGCCAGGTGTAGTGTGAGGATCAGGGGGCTGATGGCATGCTCCACCAGGTAGTAGTATGGATTACAAAGGAAGTATGACCTGTACTGGATGAGTAATTGGTGGATAGTTCCCAGATAAGCAACTTAATAAAGTTACAGACTAGTTAAGCCATATTCCCAGGGCTTGTCTATACTTACCGCGCTGGTTCGGCGGCAGGCAATCGAACTTCTGGGTTCAATTTATCGCGTCTTGTCTGGACGCGATAAATCGAACTCAGAAGTGCTCCCCGTCGACTCCGGTAATCCTGCTCGCTGCGAGGAGTACGCGGAGTCGACGGGGGAGCCTGCCTGCCGGGTCTGGACCGCGGTAAGTTCGAACTAAGGTACGTCGACTTCAGCTACGTTATTCACGTAGCTGAAGTTGCGTACCTTAGTTCGATTTGGGGGTTTAGTGTAGACCAAGCCCCAGTGTCTTGTGTTTTTTCCAGTATTGTCTAGGACAAAAGGCTCTGTTACACCAATCAGACCAAGTAACTTGGCCTATCTCTGAAACTGACTGTTACGGATTTAGGACCAATGGACTAGAACACTAAACTTTGGGAAAAGGACTAAACTCATTTAAGTTGTTAAGAACCCAATTCATGCGGGATTCTTGAATAAACTTTTGTTTCAGGAACTGGGCTTGGACTGCTCAGAGAGACAAGATGGGTGAGATAATATCTTTTATTGGTCCAATAAATAATAAAATATTGGACTGTAAACGTCCGGTGCGGGGGACGGGCCCTTTCAGGGGCCGTCGGGGCCCAGGCCGCCTCACTACACGGCCTGGAT